AATTCCTACCTCGACTTAAAGGACACTTTGTGTATTTATTCAATTGACAAATACACTTAAGCAGATCCACAGTCTGTCGATCCCGATGACAGCGCGGAAACCGGCAACGAAAGTAAGTGGTCCGAGACGGCTAGAGATTGCTGCCCCGCTGCTCTCGGAACGAATAACAGAATTCATTAATTTAGACTCGTTCTGCGCAGATCAATCACCTCTCGCGCCCGGAACGTGTCTCGATGATGCGCATTGTGAAACGGTCAGCGATGAAGGCACATGCGACGAAGGTGAATATTGATGAACTCTTAGTCATAGTAGATTTGTAGTATTTTAAATTTTGATATTGAAGTTACATTGAAAACGTGGGTGCGTCATTGCGTTTCTCCCAACTATTTAATTTTGTTGCTAAGCAAATGTTTTGCTGTTTGCAAATTCCTAACCCATGCGGTGTTTAGTTGCCTCTCACAGCACCCCTCCAACACCTCAGAACACATCAACACAGACGAACCTCCTGGTACCTCTGCCATGCTACATTTGCGGTAAGTATGCCACCAAAACCAATCTGAGAAGCAATTCTGGGAGAGTCATACACAAGCCTTTATTTCTTAAACTTTGATGGAAACATCAAGTTGTCATACTTATTTTATTCACACTTCGTAGTCCATGGACCCAAATTCAAATTACGCTTTTAGAAAAGCAATTTGTGCTTGCCACAATCTCTGGCTTGTACTCATTGAATTCGGGCGAGCAAGCAGCTTTTAACATTTTCTAGGAAATATTGCAAAATTAAAGTGGGTCAATTGAACCAGCTCTTTAAAATCTACTATTAAAACAAGAGATTCTGACGTATCAAAGTGCCTTAAGACACTTTTTCGAAATGCTCTTGCCAACCACTCTGCTAGAACCCAAGGCAATGAGAATGTAAGCATAAGCAGAAAGTTTAGTGGAAGCAGTCAATTAACTTTGAAGGGCACTTATTTACACATTGTTTAGGCTTCAGAACCACAGTTCAAGGCGGTTTAGAAGAGGGTGCAGAACCTGGAGGCAGAGGATTTACGGCTGCAGAAGGACGTCGACATCCTGAAGGCCAAGCCAGCGGATCCCTGTCGTGCCACCGACGAAGCCTGGACAAGAAACAGGAACTGTACCTTTCTCTGCACGGCAACTGGTGCCCCTTTCCGTCACGTTTTACACTGGTTAGACGAACCTCCCCACATTTCTTGTTTTTTTTCATTGAATCCTTGTTGGAGGGAGCTCAAGCCTATGTTCCAAAGGGCACCACGTTGGGCGATGTTGTGCTCATTGTGTTTATGAAACTGAGGTTAGCGCTCTTGAATACGGACCTTGGCTACAGGTTTGGGTTATCAGAAACCACTGTTGGAAACATCATGAAAGTGAATATTCCTGTCCTTAGGTCGCAGTTGAAGCGGTTTATAATCTGGCCCACAAAAGACGATATGTCACGGACATTGCCCTCACAGGTCAGAAGACGGTATCCGGACTGCCGAGCAATCATTGACTGTATGGAGTGTCGCATCGAAAGGACACTGGCATTTGGTGCAAGATCAGAAACCTACTCGCACTACAAAGGAACAAACATGGTGAAACTCTTGATTGGGATAACGCCAAATGGCCCTGTGAGCTTTGTGTCGAAGTGCTGGGGCAGGCGAGCATCCGACAAGAAGCTCATTCAGTCATTGGGATTTCCGGATAAGCTCACAGATAGCGATGTTATTCTCGCCGATCATGGATTTCTCATTGAAAAGGATGTGGCCAGCCGCGGTGCTCCTCTTGTGGTACCGGCACTAACTCGTGGTAAGAAGCAGCTTCCTGCTAAAGAGGCTGAGGAGGCGTGAGAGATATCTAGAATACGAATTCATGTCGAACGTTCCATCGGCAGAATGAAGGTCTACCGTATCTTGAGGGACAGGCTCCCTGTGAGTTTGCTTCGCTATGCAACCAGCGTTGTTAACATCTGTGCAGCTCTGACAAACATGCGACTACGGTTGATGTGAAGACATTCATTATCAGGTTATAACTGCTAAAGCTTGCAGTATTTTTTGCATGTAAACCTCGCAAACTTCCTTGCTTGTAGGATATGACTAAAGGTTGTTTCACACACTAGCGACAGAGTCCTCTTAGAACCGCTTACAGCAAGATGCGCAACGCGTTTTAAGGCCCATACACACATTCGCAATTGAACACGTTTGAATGCATTGCGGCGTCCTTGCGGCCAGGAGCGGTTGCTCAATTGCGGTGCGACGGGCGCCTTCCCGCAGCGCTCAGTAGCAAGACGCAAGGGAGTAGAGCGTCGCTCAACTTTCCAACGCATTGCCGTGCGTTCGACCAATCAGAAGCCGAAAGAAGCGAGGAGGGTCACGTGTTTGCTCGCGCCACTTGGTGCAGGCTTATCCGGTTCCCCTCTCGCAGTACTTGCTTTTCTTTTTGGGGAGCGGTGGAGGCTGCAATGGTTTAAGCTCGACAAATAGTGGTGGAAGCCAGTGGTAAAGTCCGAATATCAAATACTTCTACGGTTTTACTGGTCACCGCTATGTCAAGCTGCATATCGCAGCTTTTTTCCACGGGTCCCACCGTCACAATCGATGGAAATGAATGTATTATTATTATTATTATTACCATGGGTTTCGCTTATTATTGGTGAGCCCCTAGCGATGATGGCACATTCTTATTGGCTCTTGACTGCGGCTGACTGCGTTTCAACGCAACTGTGTGTAAGAGCTTGGTGTAAGCGCTCTTCGCAACGCAACGCATCCACTTGCTGCTACGGAACGCACCGCGGTCAAATGCAGATGTGCGTAGGGTCTTTAAAAAGCTAGAGAGACGCGACAAGCCTCTATCTCGTTTCCTCCGACAGGGACGAAGCACGCTGGCGATGTCAACGAACGTTCATCATGACGGTCAACTCGTTGGACCTTCGCTTGGTTGCTCCACAGCTTTTAGTGGACAAAACAAGCCGCAAACTGTGTTCCCCAAGGCGTGTTTCCCTTTTCAGTGGGCGACTTCGGTGCCAGCAATACCATAACAAACCTGTAAAAATGGTAGTGTACCCAGCCGCAGTTTTCGTTCCAATCTACTCAAATAAAGGTCAACAGCGGACATACTTTAATAAAGATAGAGCCTCATTTGTGGCGGGGGTTTTGATTAAAGTTTCCAATATATAATTACAAAAGCTGATTGTTAATGAACAAAAAGTAAGGCCGCAAACGAGCTGGTGTGCACTGCACATGGTTGAAAAAAACCCGAGACTGCGGGTAAATACTTTTTAGTGTTGTGTCGTTTACTCGCAGTCTCGGTTTTTTTTTCAACCATCTGACTGTTAAAAACGTTGCGCTACAGGCTCGACTAATTGAACCTTTAGTGAAATTAGAATTGCCTATAACAATCAACACATAAATGTTTCAACACATGGGGAGTGTTTGGCCACTGCCCCTCAATCACTCCGTCGCACTCCACTGACAGGAAAGTCTGGGGACCGTGGTTTGGCGAATGACACGCGATCGCAAAGCAGGGAGAAAGGCAAACAAACGGCATTGAACAAATATTTATTACTGCAATCATAGTAATAGCTAGCTTAACCGAGCAGCCATGACGAAATAATAGCACCAAGTTTAGGAGAATGTAAATTAGAATACAAAAAATACCATCCATTGCGCCCCTAGCCACGGTATCGACGCCCGCTTCCACCTCGTCACCGTAGATCAACTAGGCCTAGTTGTCATTCTAGCATGCAACGAATAGTCCCAAAAAGTGGAAAAAACTTCTGACCATTTTTAGTCGCTCATTGATAAATGTCATCTTGTAGTAACATCCTAGATGCACATTCTTGCGCTAAGTAATCGCAAACACACCAACGTTAACACAGACGTTGCAGGACGACAAAAACAAACAAAAACAGGGCGGCGTGTTTGCGTAGCGAGTGAAGAGAACCTTTTATAATTAACCACCAACAAACCCACTCGTCAATGCTACAAGAGAAGCTAGGGAAGTTCCCCTACTTCGGTAGGGCAGTTATGTGTTGCATCCTGTTGTAAGCGGTCATAAGAGGTTTTAAGAGGACTCGGTCGCTAGTTTGAAAAAGCAGCCCTGCATTTTTTATTTGTGTTTTTAACCGGCACTTTACTGTCACTATTGCCTTCTTTAAGTTTAAATTTTACCGCCACGACGTTTTATAATATGAAATGTTACAAAGCAGTAACATTTTGAAATTTGTTGAAAACTGTTACAACACTGTCTATTAGTAGGATTCTTGTCTACTCGTTTAGACATCCCGAAGTCTTCGATTGATTTTTCTTGGAGTAAACAGCTTAAAGGGACTGCAGCATAAGGGAACATCACATAGGTTGCCAAGCAAGCAGTGAACAAAAGCATGTGTAAAGACGTGAATGTTCTGGACAACTAGGTTTCATGGCAGATGAAAACCAATGTGATACTTACAGGAAGCATGGAACAAGTACCGAACTGTCTGCCTTTGGTGAGTCAAGTACTTTTTCGTATTGTGATGGGTAGAGAAACGCATGCCTAACATAGCAGTAAATATCATGCCGGTCACTCTATCTACCAATCGACTGGTACAGAAACGGGAGGGCCAAATATCACGCGGGATGTTCCGTGTGCCATTTGGCAAGGTCATTTTTCTAGAAGTTTACATCAAACCAAATTGCCTTGAGTGAAACTGTGTGGACTTACTTGATCCTTACTAAAAATTCTCAGTAAGAGTATTAAAAGTATTCAAATCGCGATCATCATTTGACGGTAGACCGTTCGTAAGTAGTAGTTTATGCACTCAGCTGCTTGCCTCAATGCGCCGCATGTGCTGTCATTCTTAAGAACAGACCCTCGACCCACAATCGCTCCATAAATGCAACACTCAGTCTTGTCCTAGGACAGAACGGCACACAATCACAACAAAATACAATTTCCAAGACGTTCAGAGGGACTGCACAGTGCCCATAGCCATTTTATGCAACAATACCAGAGTGTGGCAATTACACGAGTTCTGGAGCGATGTGTTTCGCCCAGAACTGTCGCGTCTTGCTGCGGATCGGATCAAAGAAAACTTTGCCAGAAGCAACTTCCTGCACATGAACGTCGCTCGGCCCCCCGACAACAAAATGGGCCACACTCTTGCGGCCCACATGCAGCTGGGTCTGCACCTGAGTGAAGTACTTATGAAAGGTAGGGAGCTCGATGTTGTCATTGCGGCAGTCCAACCTTGTGATCGGCGTGCCTGGCTCCTTAAGGTCCGCTGGACACTTCACCTCCAGGATGCCCACACAAAGGCAAGAGCAGCTCCAGATCCCATCTGGTGAGGCACCAATGAAGAAGTCCTGCGAAAATTGCGCCACTTGAGCGAATGCTCAAAAAGCTATTTACATCAAGTTCCTTTTTAACTGAACGTACCGCATCTTTTTTTGTAAATGGCACTCACCTGTTCTCAAAGAGCTGTGGCTTTGCATGCCTGATTTGGGAAGGTATGGACCAACACACTGTCTACGAACAAGAAAGCATATGCTTACAACAGGTGTGGACACTGTGTGGCCGTGTTATGAGCAGCCCACAGTTGTGGCTTGCCATAACAGGTGCGCATTGATGGATATGTAAAGTTTTGCACTGATCAAAACCAGGTACAAACGCAACAGTTTTTAGGAAGGCATTTTTTTTCTGATTATCTTTGTTGCAACTGTCATTAAAGGAATAAATACAGTTTTAAGCAGCACTTTACTATTTTGAGCTGTCTAAGCATGCTGTTTTATTTAGTGCTGTTTTTGAACATCATACTGCACCTTCATAGAAGGCAACATAACTAATGCGAGCATAATGCGCGCCTTATAGGACAACTGAACATCAATTTCATTGTTGAGAAAACAATGGAGTCCTACGTCGCATCATCCCAAAAGCCTACACGTGCAATATTACGACATAATTCTGCCTAAATGTTTATTAAACCGGCCAACTAAGTCCGAGCGGCTCCAGTCATCAAATCTTCGTAATCTAGTGGGCGCTGCGCGGAACAGTGCAGTCGACGCCACTGTGTGGACAAGCCCACCCTGCGGGAAACGTCATAAATGTGACGAATGTTTTTTGTAGTTTCCTACTTTGTGAGACGCGGTGCCCCAATGCAAGATAAATAAAGGGTGTGGAGGGTTGATGACGTAGCCGATGCAGCTCTCCTTACCACTTGATATCCTGTAATGTGATGAGCGGGACCGATGTTGCCTCGCAGCGGGAAAGGTTTCGGTTTCGCTTTGTGATTTTCGTTTCAACAAGGTTTTCAAGAAAACTATTTAGCGTTTCGGAAAACGAATCACATAAAACCGTCTATTAGTAGTTCTGACTTGGTAATCACTTGTAACCACAAAATTTGTGGAATTGACCGGAATCGCCCTCTAAAACATTTTGTAATGTTTTTGAAGCTCTTCAGTGGTACATTGAGAAATGACCGAGAAGTGGGGCACTTACCTGAGTATCAATGACAAAACCGATGTCCTGTAGCTTGAAATTTTTGTGGTTCCTCTCCATGAACAGCCTGTACTCCTGCTTGGCGTTTTGCTCGTTGTCCCTGCCCCACCGCATCCCCTCGGTGCAGATGTCCGGTCTTCTTTTGAGGACACAGTCCACGAGGGTTCTGGGGTTTTGTTGATGGCTGGAGCGTTCTTATCTTAAATAACAATCACAGTTTATTAAATTAGATCTTTTTTGAACGAGCAACAAAATAAGCACTAGAACAGAGCATTGGTAAAAATAGTGTTGTAAAGGCAGGCATTGCAAACTTAGCTGAGTTCTGAGTGAGCATGACAGGTGTCACTGTGGCATTCTTTGGACATAATGTATGATGTAGGGCTGGAAATCATCAGGTAGGATTGAAAAGTATCAGGCCTCAAGCAAGGGTGTTTCTAGGTGTTTAAAAACCAAACTGTACCTAGAAGTCCCTTGGACAAGGCTTCAAAGGTGTATGGCAGTTTGTCACTGGACAAGAAGGCACCACAATGCGAAAAAAATGTCACCGAGGTTTGTTTCGTATTACAGTATAAAAAGAATTATTCCCTTCTTTGCTTTAAAAGCGATTGGTTACTTTGTTATTCTTCATAGAAAGTGTTTCATAATACTACCGTGCAAAGACTAATGGAGCAGCAATCTGTTTATATTGGCCTAGTGTTGTTTTGCTCACTATTGCTTGATCACTAGGGAATAATGGGACTTTATGCGACGAAACAACTCAGGCTACGAGCGACTCCCCAATAGCTCCTAGGGAGGGGACCACCTGGGTCTCGAATCCGCCAGTTTGCAATCCACAGACAAATAATGCCTCAGCACCAGGAAAGAGGTCACAGTCACTAGGTGTCAGTACGGCGCAACTGCGTGGCTGCCACAGACTCAAAAATATTTACAACAGTTCGCTGTTGTGACCTTATTAGTTCACACTGCAATGGTAAAGATGAAATGCTAGTACTGTGATTTCAGTGCCGCCCCATCTATGCAATACAAACGAAGAGGTAAAGTCACTGAAACATGACAGAGCAAAATGATACGTTTCTCAAGTGTCAATAAATCAAGTGAAAATGCCAACACACCCTGAACATGACTGAAGCATTCAGCCGTCCGTAGCGCGCCTCTTTCCAAAGCAGGCAGCTGGCCTGCTGCCTGGTCCTCTTTTCAATCCTCTCCACCGCAGATAGTGGACCGAAGAGATCCGCCGGCAGGGTGTTCTTCGCCGAGCCGGACTTCACTGCATTCCTGAAAAAAAATTAAACAAAGAAACTTGTTAGTACAATAAAACTTACTTTTCTGAGAACTAATCCATGTCAATTTTATTAAATTATCTGGAGCTGAATTAAATTTGTTGATTCCAGAGTGCCCTAGAGTTGTCCTAGGTATCTCGACATATGGATACGACAGTACTGGCTATAAAGGGCCCTTAATTAAGGCTTATTTCAAATTACCCGAGACAATGGCAAAGAGACAAATATTCACAGTCGAAACAAAGACACAGGATAAGAAACATGTAATTTTAAGCAGTTTCTCGTCCTTTGTTTATGTAAAGTGTTTCTACCTGTTTACCGCCACGTCGGTTAATTTACAATATGATGAACATCCACCAGCCGCCTGCACACTCATTGTCTTTTCGCTAAACTAGATCCAGCTGCACAAACCACCAATGTTGTAAGCTCCATGGCCTAATTATGTGATAATTATATCGCTACCAATCTTGTTCATTTCGTTTTCAATGCTCAGATGAAGACTGCCCGCAAAGTGCAGTTATGTAACATACAAGTTTCCCCAGCTTGTTCTCTAGTAAATTCGGGTGACGCATGATTAAAATCAGCGAACAACGTTAGGAAACTGTTGAAGAAAACAGAAGACAGGAAAGACGCTGAAACTCACAATGTATTTTCTTTCTTCCCTTTGGAATATACATTGGGTGGGGAGTTTCAGCGTCTTTCCTGTCTTCGGTTTTCTTCCACAGTTTTCTAACGTTGTTCATTGATTTTAATCATGTGTAACGTTAGCTGATTTTAATTATGTGTAACCTATACCAACTAGCCCAGCTCACCACCCTCCTAAATTCGGGTGCGTCGCGCCATCTTGACAACCATCGGGTGGATGTACGTTGCATGCATTTGGAGGCAGAGATAGATGCTAGTACGGGTACGTATGTTGCACATTTCGTCTTGATCCTTTCTGTGCAAAGGTTGAAGTGGTCAAGTGACAGTAACACGTGAAAAGGTGGCTGTAGTGTCAGCCTGTGCGACGAAAGCTTGCTCCCGTCCATTCCACTGCTGTGTGGTCTCGACAAGGTGGTAAGACACTGATTGACAGAGAAGGGTGCAGAACAAGAATAGGATATCCCACTTCAAGCAGCTAAATAAGAGAAGGCAGCGAAACTTGTTGATGGCGATTCCGACAAGATCACAACGCAAGGCCTAGCTGAGCGTGTCTTCGCTCACGCAACAGTGTTTTTCGCAGTGAACTCTTTTGCATAATTAGCTGATCTAGAAAGGTTAAATGGCCGAACTAGCCCCCTATCGTTCCCTGGTCATTTTTAGAGTGGGGGGGGGGGGGGGGAGGGCTGCATTGTCCTGTGAAATGCAAACTTGGTGTAAGCCGATTGTTGTTTTGAGGCAGGGCTGCGGACCAGTTTTCACTGCAAAATGATACTCGGCCACGTTGATTGGACCTGCTTTTTTTATTTGTCACGAAGCTCAAATGAACAAGGGGTGAATCACCTTTACATCATGTGGTATGTACACATAATATGCGAGCATCTTTACCCAGAAGTGAGGATGATCGCGATGTCAACACAGCTGAATCTCCAACGGACATCTTGAGAGCAGCACCCCTGACGCGATCACGTTTAAGTCTACTACCTTGGTGTTAGTAATGTATGAGGCAGATTGCTTCTACTATATTATGCGACTGTCGACGAGGATACATAGGTCTTCACCTCAGACGATCAAAGACTGGTTTCGGGTTCTAAGGACAAAGGCAGTGCAGTGATGTGCCTTAATGTCTGAAGCAACGCGCCAGTTAGCAGATCCCCCCAAACCACAAAAAAGCGGAGTCAATTGGCAATATATTTGTTATTTCTGCTGCGCACTGGAGTGGCGGGCGTGAGGATATCTCTACTTTGGTGATTTCTTTGCTGCAACCTAGTTCTGCGGTTGTGGTTCATTCGCACAGTCCAGCTGTTAACAACCTTCGAGTTTTTGGAAAAAACATTCTCACTCTGGGCAGCGTCCGACAAAAACTGACATTAGACTTTCTCGAAGCTTCAACTGCATCCGAAAGCGGTGCAGTTCTCTCACCTCCAGCGTGGTAAAGCTGCATGAACGGACTCCTCCTGGCCTTCAAGATGGCGCCGCGGACTGAATTGACCTCACTCACGAGACACACGTCCGCCGTGTGACGTACCGTGCCAGCCATGCATTAGTGCTGAACCAACTGCCTTCAGGTAATTTGGGTTGGCACGAATAAATTAGGTGTAGTTGCTGCACTTGCACATAAAAATGTCTCATTACGCCCACACTTGCTACGGCAAAAAGGAATTCACCAGTCTTTGTAACGCCATCAGCACTCCGAGCAATCAAATTCGAGTTGCCTCTAAGTGATCACGACCAAATTTTTACAAGTAGAGTGATCGCTGTGTCACTTATTGTACCACAATTACGAGTTTCTTAGATCGTACCTGCTTACCAAGAAACATGGTACGTGCTAAAATTAAGGCATCTGCCTACAATCTTTATTATAAATCAATAATCAGTATTTTTATTACTTGCCATATTTGTGGAAAAATTTGTAGTGAGATATGCTTGCTAGTACAGCCTCTTCGCATCACGTCCGCAGTGACATGTATGTTCTCATTTTTGGTCAATTAGCACAGGTTTACCCTTCAACAATCAAAACATATTATACCGCAACAGGCTGTACATTTCGTCGGCATCCGAGGCAGAATCCGTCTCCTCGGCATTAAATTTTGGAATCGACCGAAGTACGGCAGCTTGAGGATTGATCTCCTTGAGCCTCCGGAACAGTGCCTCATCTCCAGGCACATAAGCTGCGGCAACATGGTCTGGTTCCTTGCAAATACGTCTGGCCGGCTTCCCAAGTTTGCTCAAGTTGTTTTCGTCCAGTGGCACCATCTGTGCCTAAAATGTGCAAAATGATGTGCTCTGTGAGAATAAAATTTTAGCTTTAAAAGAATGAATAAACTTGGCCTTCTTAAACACGTTCACACTTTAGGCACAGGGATTTGATGTGCTAGAGGCCCCATTCGTGTTTTCTCGAACTGCGGGCTCCACAGCGTACAGGATTGCAGCAACGTGGCAGTAGACCTCAGTCATCCTGCATAAAATGTGAAAAAAAAAACTTTTAATATGTATGAGATTGTATTTTCGCCTATTGTCCACGACACACTACCTGCACCACAGGATTCAAACTGTAGTCAAAATTACTCATTTAGCGTCGCCCGTACGGAGGGAGTTGGCTGAGGCAATAGACTAACGTAAACCGCCAATAAAACCCAGACGCTGTATCCAGCAAACGATCATCGACCAAGCGTAAGGGAGAATGGGCGTGATAGGCACGTCGCGGCCGAAGGTGGCACGATCTGAGCTGTGGTGCAGCGGAAGAGCTTTTTCGCCCAAGCAAGGCACCGAAGAGGCATTATGTTCAACGAAAATAGGTAATACCCAGCTTTGCACGTGCAGTGCGCGGCGCGCAACCCGCCAGACGCGTTGGTCAGGCACACCCAGGTGTCGTGAGGTTCAGTCGTTGCACGCTGTGAAGGCATCGCTTTGGCTCTCACGAAGCAGACTGCGGCTCCTTGGGGCTTCCATAGCTTGCACTCTCGTACAAAGCCTGTGGTGCAACGAAGTTAAGGTAAATTCGAGACACGAAACGCTCCCCAGATATGTTCGCAGGCGTATCGCTAAACCGAGCATAAAACTCACCAAACTCGAAGTAATTCCAGGCCTCGAGAGACTTGTACGCCTGCACTGTGTCGGCAGTGAATTGGGTTGGCGAGAAAACCAAATAAATGACGACGTGAGCCATCGACGTCGGTGGCAGCAACTTCACGTCGGAACTCCAGCAGGCCTTCTTTACTTCGTATGGATCGCCGAAGGTAACGCCGCCCACGCACAGTTTGTCACGATACCGCTGCCGTTCAGCCTCGGGTAGCGAGCTCAAATAGTCGGGCTTCACGTGCGACATACGCTAGCAGGAAATACGACGTACAAATAAACCAGAAATGTATCTACAATGTCAACAGCGAGCTCTTGCCACAAAACGCAATGGCGAAAACACGACGAGCCTTGGCACTTTTGCCCACATAGCTTCTGCGCATGCGCGGCCTTGCGGCCGTGTTGGTAAACAGAGCCGCTCCGCGTGCCGGTCTATATTATGATGTGATGCGAGCATTATATCGGGTGTTTGCAGGTCGAATCGGTATTTGTCAAGCGTTCGAATGGCAATTAAAAAAACTTAAACGTGCCGGAGAACCCACGGCTGAGCTGGGAAACTAGCTCTCACAGTGAAGTAAACAAATAAACTTGCCGTCAATAAGACCTTCCTCGCCCTATTGGAACAACCAGTTTGAAAGTCTAACTGGTCAGACTGGTATTTGGACTGGCCAAACTGGTATTTGGACTGGTCAGACTGTTCTAACAGGAAATCGAGAGAGAGAGAGAGGTGGCGTGAGAGAAGCAGGGGAAGTTGACAGGAAATCGAACTGATGCAAGTGGTAGCCAGACTGGTCTAACTAGTAACCATTATGATCTAACTGGTCCCCAGATTGGCCTGACTGGTAGCCATATTGGCCTAACTGGTCAACAGATCGGCCGAAGTGGTCACCAGACGCCGAACTGGCCACCAAACTGGCCGAACCGGTCCAAATGGTAACCAGATTGACCAAACTGGTCACCAGATTGGCCCACCTGGTTCAACTGGTTGCTACAGTAATACCTCTTTCTCACTTTATTTGCAGCTGTGTGCGAATTGGCTTTTTTATTTATTGACTTTCAAAGAATTACGGCTTGATTGAGCGTTTACTTTTTACTAAGAGATTCATCCCGTGAGCCGTTCAAAGTACTCATAGAGCTATGACATTGCTGAAAAAAAATCAACATGCTGGAAATATCTTATATTGCTTAGGCGGTCACCAAGAAATTCCGTACGTTCAGAAGGACCAGTATACAAGACGGAAACGCAAAGCTCGGAAGTAGTGATCAGGTTAGTGTTCCGTTGTATTTAGGTTTGTATGTACCGTGTATGTGTATGTGCACAATGCGTGTTCATTTGATGTTTGTAGTAGGCGTATTGTGTCTACATTTGTGTATAATAAAGATTTCCGAAGCGCAGTGGTTGTGTGATCAAATAAAAATATTTTTGTCGAACCAGTGTGACCAGTTCAACAACCGTGACCAGTTCAACCACGGTGACCAGTCGACCAGTGTGACCGGTTCGAGCCACCTTGACCAGTTCAACCATTATGCAACTGGTCAAACTGGTGCAATAACCAAGTTTGAACCTGGTACCAGTTTGAACTGTTCTTTCCAATAGGGCGGGTAAGCGTTGAAGGTGATGAACGTTGAAAAAGTTTCATGTTGACAGCGGCTTTGGCGGGGGTGAGCGAATTCCGCGTAGCAAAAACCTCCAGCATGTCGTCTGCTAAACCCAACTTATCGAAACCACCACCGATTCCGCGGTAAGTATAGGTAACTCTAGTCGCATATTGAGCTGCACTACAATTTTAACCCAGTGGAGTGACGCTCGACAAAAAAATGTTTATTTATAAGAAGTGTGAGGGGTTTTAACTTTAATATGTGTGCACATGCTATTGAACAGGCTTCCCGAAAAGCAGCCAAAAAGTTTCAGTGCCGACAACGGCTTAGAAACGGGAGAAACGGCCCGTTTTCTCGTTTTTCCCATACGGTCCCATGCATTTGGTGGTGTCAATCAATGGCCGCAGGTGGCGACACTCAGCCCCAGCTGCCGAGGCCGCGGTCCGCGATCCAGCCTACTACAGTAGAGATCAGATGTCTATTCTGTTTAAATCAGGAATAAGTTGCTCATAGAGCCCTTGTTGCCCATGTCGTCCACATGAACAATTCCCTCCCTTGCCGCGCCTTTGGCAGTATCAGTAGAGAACGTTTTGTTCGACAGCAGTGGCAGGCTTTGGAACGCAGTCCTATTTTGGCAGGCCTTTTGTCAAAGTTGTAAGCGAAAATGCAAGGAACAGCTCGTTGCATTAAAAAGTGACCTCAAGCAGCAACCACTGTTGGGGGTCAAAAATCAAATTGGACGTTTAGTGATTTATACGGCGTATTAAGGTCGGCCTGCCAGGATGGGCGACATTGGGCGCGTTCAGTAGCCCCTCCCATGCCCCCGAACGGAGTGACTCGAGTCGGAGTCATCGCAGCGCCTACTGAACGGCAAAAAACCTCGCGGCTCCAAACCAGCTTCTACGCAATTTCCGCTTCCTCCCCTGTGCCAGACGGTCTCCGAATTAACTGGAAGCAGACGATGGCGAGCACGATTGCTTTTATTTGACGCCGGTATTGAAGTCTTTACAAGGTCGTTGAAGAAAAAGCGGGTGATTGTACCCATCAGTGCTGCTGTTCGAAGCGATGCAACGCGATCGAGCCCTTCCCTTCGCACTGCAAAGGCAGCTACTGCTAAAAAAAACCCAATAAAAACGTCGTCAGCACACACAAAATATAGAGCTCGGCAAATCTACGCCACCGGTTGCGATACTTTTATACGGCCATACGTTTGTTCTGCCCTTCGTAACGGACTTCCTATAAAATGTATTCGCATACACACGGGAAGTTCGGCCGCGCCCGGCGATGAAGGTTTTGTCGGCCGAAGCGAGCCTCAGCCAACGTGCACCCCGATTTCGCTACGCAAACAAAACATTAATCGGCATCATGCTCTGCGTCAGTGTACAACCGGCTTCCAAAGTCGCGCTCTCTTGAGCGCGGACAGGACTATCGTCAATATGACCGAGTTTCCGTGCAACGGCGATCAAGACACGGCGTGAAATGAACGTTTACGTTGTTTATTAGCATATTCAAACCAAACAAAATACGGTCCAATGCATTTTCCGAAAAAAGCCTTACCTGGAGAGAAATTCGAATGCGTTACTCGTCTTACCTTGAGCACTTTTCGTTAACAAAAGCGATCAAACCGCACACCCGCACAGAACCGACGCAGCTTATCTCGCCATTTTGTTTGTGTTTTTCTCTTTTAGCACCGGAAATCGTCACCAGTCAGGAAATGACGTCATCTTTAGCTCCTTTGACTGTACGTGCACCGTCTCCGGACTCGGTGCTTCGCAGCTTGACTCCGAAGCCCCGGACTTGCGTGCACAGGAAGTGACTTTTGGCCGTCCAGTGGAATGAGCCAGTGACTGCTTCACTCCGGGGCCGCTACTGAACGCGCCCACTGGTTTACACTGTAGATGAGCAATTCTGCCAGTGCAGTACGACTGCTAACCTGGGTTATTTAACGTGCGTACACAGTAGTGATACACAACCGCTCACCGGTAAGATTCTCATCGAGATTGAAACGGGTAGGGGGGGGGGGGGGGGTGGACTGAACCCAGGATTTCTGGTTTCTGCAGCGCGAGCTTTCGCTCCACGTGCTTCGAGCTGGGTAAGCTGGGTAAGGCTAAGAAAAAGCGAATTTCGTGTAGCGAGCTAAATCTGTCATCGGATATTCCAATATTTGTGAACGAGCATTTGTGCCCGTATTTGCAAAAAAACTGCTCCGAATGACAGTGTCTAAAAACGTGATCATCTTTGGCGGTCTGTGTGGGTCCAAAACGCCAAGATACTTGCGAAAAAATTGGTTGACATTCCAGTCATTTCAATACTACACAAGGATAAGCTGAGGCTGAATTGTTAAACATTGCTGTTTCTTTTATTATTTTTTTTTCTGGGTATGGTCTTGTTATGGCAGAAGACCTTGGTGTTGAAACGCTTGATCAGTTGAATCTTTGCTTGAATGAGGGTCGCAGAAGTAAGATGAGTTTCTTTCATCTAAACTTGCACTCTGATAGGTATAAAGGAGACAGCCAAATGTTGCTTTCTGATTCTTTTGAAACTTCATTTAATATTATTATGCTAACTGAAACATGGTATATTTATGACTGGTTTTTTTTTTTGTACTGCCTGGATACTATCATTTTTATTTAAATCGAGATTACAGGTGGAGGTAAAGGCGTCTCGTTACAAAGTATTTCTTCTGACCTTGAGCTTCTCCCGGACTACACCATCATGACTCGCAACTACGAGGTACTCTGCGTCAGAAGAAGAGGCTGTATTTCCTCGGTTTTCTATCGTCCCCAGGTAGAAATGTTTCAATAATTTTTTTTTTTACTTTTTAAAAGAACTTTTTTTTTGCAAATGAAGAAAGATATTTTTTTTTCTGGAGACCTAAATATAAACATAATCGAAGAATCGCGTGTCGGAGACAACTTTCTTATTCTACTTACATCAACTAACTTTGATATTTTATAAATTCTCCCACTCGTGTCACATTGTCATCGTCCACACTTATTGATGTGTTTGTGACAAATCAACAAGCAAATTCTGTTAGTGCTGGTGTTGCATAGTTTAAGCGATTATCTACCCATATTCATGTTGATAATTAATATAACTAACTTGAAATTTGAGTTTACAAATCAAAACAAAAAGACTCCTAGGATCTGAAGCATATATACTTCGCAACATTAGAAACGTTTCGTGAAACTATTTCAAATACAAATTGGGGCTCGGTATTTTCCGCTACATCTGCTGATCAAACGTATAATTAATTTTTAGATATCTGGAGGCTTGGAAGGTTGGAGTCAATGTCAAGCTGCGCTGGCGGCGTAATGGCTTGCAGATGTGTCAATGATTCTTCAGCAATCGCAGCGATTTCCGCTGAATTTCGAAGTTCCTCGGCGTGGCCCACAACGGCACCTTTCGTGAGGTGATGCGTTTCTTGTCAGAAGTTCGTCACGAGGACCACAATGCGTTCATTTTCAAGACTAGGTACCC